GTCGTACCATCGTTCATCCGTCCCGCTAGCATAACATAAAATGTAAAGCCCTTATCTCCGCCGTGAGAACTCTCTTTTCCGTCCTTCCCTTGTACCTTCTATCTTTTACAGGGTCTATCTATCACATCCGACCGCTGCGAACCCTTCGAGGGATGAACGACGAGAAATGGTACCGGCTAATGTCGAACGATGAAAATCAACTTTGCTTCAGATTATTCAAACACGAAATAAAATGGGAACTAAAAAACCAAATATCTACATTTTTATCTATAAATATGTACGAACACATTTCTATATGGAAACAACGAAAGAATAATATTTTCGTGTTCATAATAAAACCACCCCTTCAGGGTCCACAGTCCCATCGTCTCCCCCTGATAAAATCACATTCACACTCTACGCGACTTCCAAACGCTAAAAAACAAAACCCTCGTAATATCTTCCTCTGAACGTTCCACGGAAGAATAGCGCCTCCCATAAGTGTCGACGGGGACACGAAGGACCAACGGAAACGGGCAAAACAACGCGGAAAAACCGGGAGTGTCGAGCAAGAGGCGAGAGCGACAGGAACTCGTTTAGGGCAGGCGAGTGGATGACAAACGGGCAAATTGCTCGAAGAAACACAACGGACTCTTTATGACGAGGCATTGTAAACGTGCGCGCGCGGTAGAGAACAGGACGAGAATGACAGGGCCTGCACGATCTCGTGTGCAACAGAGAGGAGGAAGACAGGGACCATAGGAAATGCTGAGGGAAAAGGTGAAAAAAGAAGAACGGGTCTGCGGGCAGCCGGAAACAAAATGGGTGAAGAAGAGTCGGACGATGGGGAAGGGGTTAGAGGGGCGAAGAGGGACACAGGCGGAAATAGCGGGACCGAGGATGGATAGAGAAAGATGAACAGAGAGGGTGGAGGGATTTTAGAGGGTTGGAAAAGAGAAAAGAGACGCGAAGTGCAGACGAAGTCAGAGGGGTAGGTTCGCGTAGGTAGGTACAGTAGGTAGTCGCTCGTAGGACAGAGTGATGCATGGCTATGGGGTCGGTCGCTTCACCGCGAAATGTCGGCGCCGAGCAGCCGCCCCGCGTTGCTTGCTTGCCTTTTACATACTCGACGCGTTGCTGCCCTCCTCTGCGCTCTCTTCTCTCTCTCTCTCTTCTCCCGTATCACTTTGTTTGCCTTTCGTACGCCGCGTTACCTTTCGTTCCGCGCCGTGCATATCGATCGGCCTGCGAGCCCGCGGAACCGGGATACGCGTGAAACTGCCTTTTCTGACGCGGTTAGACAACCCTCATCCTCCTCCGGGTCTGTCGCTCCTAGGCTCCTCTACCGGGGACTCTACCAGTCTAGACTTTCAGTTCAGATTCCTAGATTGGAATTTTTTTTGCAATCCAGGCTCCTGTGGTATATTGGGTCTGTCGGAATATTCTGTCGCTTCCGATTCACCTTAATTGACGGGAAGATTCGTTTGTTTCAATATTAACCCGAGACGCAGTAGGTGTTTCTTATGGAATACTCAGGGTGGAGCACGATAGGTGATCAACTTCGATTATTCCACTGCTAGCTGTTCGATTGAATACTTTGTGACTGCTACAACATGATTCAAGGGAAACTTCAAGATGATCAAGTTTCGATATGTGGAAATGGTAAACATTGTATTAACTCCTTTATATGTGGTGGACTTTACACTGTTTTGCTCGAAACAAGATATGGACTTAAAATCAATTTTACACTATTATATTAGAAATTAAACGAGTTACAACGAAATAATTTTCACCATCGGAAGTAGTGAATACTTTGTTGCAGAAGACATGTAAAATGTAATTTAAAAAAAAGTGGACCTGATACACTCTGGCTTTGGGGTCCAGATATCTGAATAAATCGATATCCTCGTAGCGTATTAATTTCAGTTATTTGTGATAAGAAGTTCCTTGCACAATTATACACTCAGAAGTCATTGTACGATAATGAGGTCAGATATTTCTGCACACTGCTGTATATGTCTGGTAAACGAAGCCACAGTTCGGTGATTCAATATTGATTGCCTCGAAGACAGAATCTTCAGGTAAATATTGTTCTATGATTGTTCTAGTAATTTACCTCCTAACTGCAAAAGGACTTTTCAAACCCCTTCTACAGCCTCTATTCCATCCTGTTTTCATCGAACGATCTTAATCGGATCGAAGCCGGTCGATGAAACCGGAATCGTATTTGCTGAACGCGAGCACGCGCAGACTTCCATCAACGTACCCACCGAAGTTCTCGCGAGGCAAACAGGTTGGCACGGGGATTTCCGTGTTTGCGCCGATGCAAATGCGCCTCTTCGTTTCATACTTCGAAACAGCCTTCGAGGGGTTTGCCATCAACGTATCACTTTGTTTGTCTTAGCTCTTCCACCAGCCTTCCAGACTTTGATACACCTTTCAGGTGGTGGGCAGACGCGAGAACGCGCTCGCGCGAACTCACGCTACAGCTACATTCCCGGCTCGTGTATCGAGAGCTTCTTATCTGTAACGTCGTGGATAAGCGTCTTATTGTTCTCACACGCTATCAGAGACGGTTAGGTTGCACGGGGTTATCGGGTTCGTACGGTTGAAAGATTTAAATTCTCCGGCGGTGTTAACTCTTCGCCACGGCCCACTTTCTCGACACGTACCACCGCGAGAGCTTCGAGTTCATGAAAGTTCGCAAAGCTCTTATAAAATTCTTCTTTCATCGCGGGGTAGTTTTGTTTCGCGGTTAAATGACGGGGATTCGTACAAACCGGGGGGAATTAAGCAAAACGTTTCGGAGTGGAAGAATGGCAATTTTTTTTTACTTTTGACCGACTCATAGAATACATTTGACGAAATAATCATCATTATGTGTATAACAAATTTCGAGTAATGAATTAAAAAGGTCAAATTATTTGTTCTTTTTTTTTATCGAATAAACACGGTCGAACAAACTCCAAACAGGTGACTGTCCAATTTCGAGTCGGACAATGCAAGGAGCTTCCGAAAATTAAATCATTTGTTCGAATCAGCGAGTTACAAAAGACATCGTGTAAGAAACTGGCGAGATGGACGACTCGATCGTCGAACGAACGAGCCACTTCATTCGCGCGGTAAACGTTCGAACGATCAAGATTTCGTTCTGCGATGGGCGAAAGAGAGAAACGGAAGGACAAGGGGACGTGGTGTGAGAAAGGACGAGGGTTAAAAGGGTGATGGCGGAGGGCTCGCGAGTTTGGTCGAAGGCCAATATTAGATGGCTCACACGCTGGAATTGTAGCTCGTTTCGGTGGTTCACGCCCGAAGAACGGGGTTAATGACAAGCCTGCTCTCGAGAGCGTTTCGAAATCGATTCGTGTTCGATGAGAATGCGCTGATTCGAAACGGAAAACTTGGAACTAAGGGGAGAGAGAGAGCAGGGTGGATATGCCGCTTTGAGCGAGGGGTTGGAAGCAATCCGAAAGTATCGGGGCAACCGGTTTCGACTTAGTTCGCTCGTTCAATTAGCGGTTATTTATTTATCTACCGTGTAACGTGATCGTTGATAAACGATGGTGGTGATTTTGGTCGAGACAAATGGAAAACGTGTTCAACTATTTTGTGGAAGAGAAATAGAATGAGTGGTATCGTTAACTCTTCACCCTTAATTTTTCAGTGTTAGCAGAGATTCGAACTGTAGAATATTATTTACCACTCTATATTAAAAAAAGCTTGTAGAATGTTCAGCATTCTGTACCGGTTATCTCAGTTTTAAGAAGTCAATATTTGGGAAGACCAACTTTTCGAGAGAAAATGACATGGTATAATTGTGACAGTTCTATTTGTTTGCATCAATCCGTCACTTTTACGGCAATTAATTGTTACTGCGTGGATAAATGGATAAATTGAGTCAAATAACGAGGTTCGTTTGAAGGATAATTGTCGATTAATATTCAGGGGGTTAATTGTTGACGCGATCGCTACTCCGGTATGCCTCCGGGAACAGACTCTTCCTGGATATCGTGTCCCTTTATTCAGTTTGCTTTTTCAATGGAAATCATTACGAGTACGTAAACTGTGAAAGTAATACACACTGTTGCGTATACTTTAACCGACGAACGTTTCTTTGGGCGAAGAAACCCCTGAGGTAATTTGTACGAACAAACGCGGGGGATGAAACTCATTGCGAGAATTAAAGGAACTATTGGTTCGAACATAAACACACTTTTCACGCGATTGTTTGAAAGGTCAATGAAACAATTCCAAGTATCGTTTTTCTAATTTAAGTGACCGTTCGTAAATATACCAGACGATTCAATTTCACGATAGAAAGTCAAACCGGTTTATTATCGAACAATCTTCGACAAAAAGTCTTCGGAGAAATCAATGTACCAATAAATAGAAAATTCACTGCAATTCCTGCGGGTCACCGACACTTGGATGCCTGTACGGGAAAGAGAACATTGTATTTCAAAGCTTTTGACCTCTAATACAGCAACATACAACACTCACGAATTTACACTAACGTTAACTCTGAAATTGAGCTTCGAATGAGTTTACATTGAAATTTCAGTGAAACTGTGGTCGATGCTTAATCTACCGAACGTCACGCAGATGCTAATTCGATCAAATCCATAAAATTTTAAGTATACTAAATTATATTGGAACTTCGATTGAACAAAAACTGCAACTCACGTGCATCGACCTCTCGCAGGTTACAGAAAAATCATGGAAGCAAAATTCACGGACTAAGAAAATAGTACCAAAAGGGGTCAAAAATTCCAGTTTCCAGTAATGCTCCACAATCATCCCTTAAAATATCACCTAACCACTCTTTCATCGTCAAACATATCAGCGTCACTCTTCCTCCATACAAATTCCCAATTTTCACTCAAAGTGACGAAAATTCACACGATCATCACGATCCTTACGATAATCCCACCACCAACTTTGAACCGCGGCTCCAATAACCATCCACAATAATTGATCGTGAAATCACGACCCTGAAAGAATCAAAGGAAATCATCTCTTACCGGACGTGGCGTCGCGGGAGCGGTGGAGGCACGGGGCTGTGAAAGTTCTCCATCATGGTGTAAGAGTCGTGGTCGGCGGACTTGTGATCGAGGGCCTCGAGATGATCCAGCCTGAGGAGCTCGGGCTCGCGGGGCGAGTGGAGCTCACAGTGGGCTACGTGAAGCAACGGCCTCAGCGACGAACCGCCTTCGCATCGTTGCTGCCGCGAAGGCGGCCTCACCTGACGATCTACACCATCCGACGCGTGCTGGTCGTCGCCCCAGACCTCGAACTCGCCCGCGGCCGAGTAGTCGCCGAATCCACCGTTACCCTTCACCGTTGCACACTTTTTACGACGATCGTCCAAGAGTCCGGGCCACGCGGAGCCCCTGTCCTCGAGCTGTCGCCCACCACCCTCTTTCCGCTTGTATTTCACCAGGTAGTGCCGCTTGCTGGGCAGCGACAACGACAGGCTGCCACGCTCGTTGGAGCGACGGGGCGTCAGATTTGCGGAGGGTTCGTGATCCGCATAGAAAGACGAGAAAGACGAGAAGTCAACACTTGTTTCCTGTTAGAACGTCAGCATACCACGATCAGGTGGTATTCGATCGAAAGAAATGGACGCTTGGAGAACCTTGCAGGTGTGGACTCCTTAGAATAGTCCTACTTGTCTTGATGATACGAGACTCGAATGTCTTCAGGACTTTCTGGTGATCTCTTTAACCCTGATATCAGGTGATTCTATGTGCCTTTAGGACTCTTAGTGGCTTTTATCTTTAGAATATTTGATATTTAAATAACTAGGTTTGAGAATGCTCTCTTGGTCCTTGGTACCTTAAAGATACGTGGCTCGATGTCTTTAGGAATCTTGGTTCTAGTTTGTCCGTGGAGTTTCAGTGTTTGGACTAATTCCGCGAAGATACTTTAGCTGATCCTCGGTATCTCGAGGGTAATCCTTTGGTAACCTTGTTCTTTAATAGTTCAAGAATAGTCCACTTGTCGACCCCTAAGGCAATCACTTCCCTCGGTACACCAGCAAGAATGTTAGTACTTAGATCTTCGATTGACTATTAATTGATATGGCTCGACTAAACTGTTGGCGTAAGGACACTTGGGCCAACGACGGCTACCACCGTCAAAGTAAACGCATTCCAGTTCCCCGAAAGAGCGAGCGTGGGGGTCGCGGTACCAATAGCCGCCGGCTACGAAAAGGGGGAAACTCGCGTACGCAAACTTTGTTATCGATCTGTCAACGCCAGCGAGAAAGTTCAACCTCCCGGCCCCTGTGAGCGATACTCTTCGTGGGTGTTTCACCCGGTTCCGCGATCCTCCTACCCCCGTATCCTATTTCGCTAACGATCAGGCTAGTCGCTGATCGTGTCCGGTCTCGATCCTGGATCCTGTCTGTCACTGCACTGAAAACACTGGACGATACTACGCGCACGGGGTCACTATCGTTCACAAACTACGAAATCGTTCCCGATCCCTCTTTGCCGGTTAACGAGCCTCGTTAACACAATGTTTCACATGCACAACCTGCGCGGACGGTCCCGTTGACAGAGGCCAATTCGTTCCACGGCGATAACTAGCTGTTGGGACGCTGCTCCGGTTGCACGGTGCGCGCAGACACACTCTCGACACGAAAACTAATTGGGTCAGGAGGGGGGCCGAGAACCGCACGCAAATCCGTGCTGTTCGAGCGTGAGCCAGCGTGCCCCCGAAAATCCCAGGGGGTGACGGGACCTCGTCGAGGCTGACAGTTCCGAACTGTGTCGAACTTGTACCGTGAACGTCGTCGTGTCACGTTCAACCCGGTGGTTCTTGTGTTAGTCCGTCCTTCGTCGGGGATGAATCGACCTTCCGGACAGGTTGAAACTTCCAAGGTACTCTTCTAGGAGTGGAGCACCAAGTTCGACTGTTCTCAGAGAGAGAAACTCCGGGTCGACGAGAGGGGGTCGTTTGAAAATCACGAGCCACCGCTGTTACTTCCGGTCACGCGGGAGGATGTGCCGTGGTTCGCGATGGGGTTGATAGGTTACTGCACCACCGGGGTATATTCTCCCTGTTCGCGCACGACCAGTGGGGAAACGTTATTCTCGTTTCGAGGCTCTCGGCTACGCTCGAGGGCAACGCACACAACCGCGCCAGCTGCGGATCAAAGACTGAAGGGCCACGGCGCCGCAACGCCCGGCACCGAGTGACACTGAACGTCCCCTCCACAGGACCAAGTTCCGCGCTTGCGCCCAGGGACATTAAACCCTCCCCCCCCAAGAGACCCAGCCGGCGCGATTCAAACCCTTGGAACGGAACGCCGCCACGCGGGGGGTGCGTACACTAACCCCTGATAGCGACGACGACCCTCGCGTCAGCGATAGATAAAACCAGAAATGAATAACAGAGAGTATTAATTCTAATATTAGACTGTGGTGGAGATTTCCAGTTACATGTATACCGATGAAATGGTACTGTTTAGGGAGATATGATTTAATATTTTATACGAGTAGTGTATGTGAACATTAAAGAATGTATAGATTTAACCATTCTATATACTATAACTTGAACAGGGTATTTCACTTCCAGTGGTTCTTGGACTATTTTTTATCTAACAAGGAGAGGGCTTAAGACGACCCTCAGGGTTTTTGATGCGCTTTTGCATGGGAGTAGAACAGGTCTGACCCTTATCCAAATCGAAAAAGATGCCAACTCTCATCGGTTTTCGTAATAATCGAATGTTATATGTATATGTATATATTATAGTAAAACTTTAATATTCGATTATTTCGAAACCCAATGAGACTTGGCATGGACGCTTTTGGATTTGGTGAAGGGTCAACCTGTGCTATTATCCTGCAAGAGCTCATCATAATCCCAGATAGTAATCTCGAGCTCTCTCATTGTAAGTAGTAACATATTCACATACATTTGAAAATCGTAAAGAACATGTTCGATCGATTTTGTATTCTCATCCATACCGTCTCTGCGTTCAAATGAGCTATTCAACTTTCATTATTGTAATTATATTCAACGTTCAAGTTTGATGTCGCCCGACCCGTGATGTCACAGGCGATAAACACGACAACGTCACCCATCGACACACTGTCATGTGTGTTAAGCGTCACGTTTTTCAACAGATACAATGAGAAATGCTATAAAGGGTGTATCATAGTGTACACACTGTGTATAGAGACGCAAATATAAACGAATATAAATCGACCTAAGTAATCCGTGAAATAGGGGATGATTGTGTTAAGTCCAAATTATTTAGTATCCAAAAGGGAGCAATCTATTTTTAGAAGCGGAAGATAAACAGCCCCCTTTGTCTCGTGATCTATAAAGACTCGAAGAACAATCATCCCCGTAACATCACGGTCTGACTTTCCCTTGAAAGATAAAGGGCACGCTGAAAACTGGAAAGGCTAATTTCGAATTTCGCAACACGATCTGGCCGGAAACTTCGTCGGAGTGCCTTAATCATTTACGGGTTCTCCGTTTCAACGGCGAGAAACGGAGTGGTCCTCGTTAAACGCGCGCAACGCTTTACGCGAACGAATTAATTCACCGGCGAGTACAATCGTGGCGAGGAGTTTTCGAAACAGCCTGTATAGACGATGGACACACACACTCATAGAACGTGCACGTGTAAAGTCCACCCCCATCGCCCCACGGCAGAGGGTTGAATAAGCGCGCACGCGCCTTTATACCGTACACCGTGTATGGTGAAACGCGAAGACGTGATGGTGAATTGTGGAGGAGCCGTATTTACGAGTTAGGGTCAAAGATCGTGTCGCCGAGATTCGAACCGCTCCGATGTGGTTGAAAATCAAGCCACCCCCAATAGTGTGAACTTTCGATTTCCAACATTTTCGAATCTACTTGTTACTATTTAAAATGGAAGAAAATATACCTCAGAAAAGTAGAATTTTATAGAATTAATTTTGATAATTATATAGTGGTTTATAGAATTTGCGGGAACGAAGAACAATAATGACGATAGTGGAATTAGAGTAGTCTATTATTATATTTAATATTAGTAAGAATTTGTTGACGCGAGTAGAGGGATAATTCCCTTGTGATTTATCCTGCCAATACGTTCTTCCCGGGTGAATGTTATATTTTTTAAACGATATTTATTAGACCTTTTTTGAATCCAGTAACGAGTATGGGATCCTGAAGTGTGGATATAACCATATTTTCGTTCGATCTCACATAGTACAATTTGAAGTTTCGGTATGCAGCTATTTGTAGGAATAAATCTCGAGGCTAACAGGCTCGAAGATATTCTTGGAAATCAGTCTGCAGACTCCGTGAACTGCCTAGACTCCCAACTATTCAAACTGCGCCGGGCGAAAACGCGGGCGCAATGTAAGGAACCCGACAACGCGTAAACGGTGCCAAGCAGATTTTATTATGGTAACAAGAGTATTCTTCGTTTCTTTGTGAAAATCGTTCCATTCATCCTGTGAGCGTCGGAGTCATGTTAACAACAAATGTGTCACGCTCAATTATCTCATTGTGAAAATGTATCTTGTTCGATGGACTGGGTAACGGAAATGGTAACAGAGGATCCATTGCAATCCCGGGTTGCGAACATTAACGTGTTACCTGATGCGTGTTAATTGCGAGTACTGTATAATTAATAATATCGTGTTACAATTGTTGCACGATGGACGACCAGTGTCGAATCAATACCGTCATATCCTTTATCGCGCGTCGATTCGAACAAAGACAGAAAGGGGCTGATCGGCTTCCATTCGAATAATCATTGGTTCTGTTAAGTTAAATGCTCGGCGCAATTTGCAGTTTCTTTGCAACGAAAAATATTTCATGAAGCGAAGAATCAATTCAACATGTTAAATCGGATAGTATACCATTTATGACGTTAGCGGGTAGGCCCAGGCAGTGGGTGACCACGGACACTTTAGTACCTTCATAACTAAGCCACGTGGAAAAATAAATGACAGATTATAACAAGTCTGCCTGAGCTCAGAAACAATTGCAACTTAGTAGCAGCGTGTACGGAAACCGAATTAGATATTATAATCAGTCTTCTCGCTGAAAGTGACATTACCGAGGACA